CATCACTGGGTTCCAGACCCAGTACAAACAGGAAGAGAGCCCAGGTTGTTTTCTTGACTGGTTTTCCTAAGCTCAGCTGCAGGGGTGAACAGAGCAGCTTCCTCACCGTTACCTCCACAGAGGCCCTAAATAATGCCAGATCTAGTCTCCCTCTAAGACCTGCTCCACAAAGAGCTCCATTCCCAAACTTTGGGAAGACAAATAGACCAACCCAGACAAACTTAGGCATTATCCAGTTGGAGAGACCCCCCAAACACCCAAACACCCCTTCCCAGTGGAAAATCAGCAGGGGTGAGATAAAGCCAGTTTCACTGCTGGAGAAAGAGACAACAGTTAAGATACTTAGGGGCCCAAACTAAAGATGCCCAGGAGGTAACTATGGAGTGTGAAGTTTCTCCAAATGCAGCAAGAAGAACTGAGTTGCTTGGGAGCCACAAGAAATGCAAAGAAGAGGAAGAACAGTGGAGGAGCTCTAAGAAACGTTTTCACCCTCTGTAAAGGTAGCCTCAAGTGTCTAACCCCCAACATACCCCAGAGAAGCCTCAATGATTTCACTGTGCAAAATTCCCCAGTGTCCTCTCCTCTTCCCTTTCTACTCCAAGTCCTGCCACTTGCAATCTCCAGATTAGGCTTAATATATTATGTCCTGATATGGCAGATTAAAAACGAAATCAATAAATGCCTAAAACAAATGCACTTTTGAAATGTCCTACTCAATCTGGCTCTTTGAGGGTGAGCTGAGAGGTAAGAGAAGGAGGGCACTGGAGAAAGGACCACATAAAGAATCAATTCCAACCCAAACCGCAGAAGGGCAAAGTCATTCCTAGGCACCTGGCCTCTCTAGTCTGAGATTTGCTTTAAATAACAAGAATAGCTAAGAGTCCTTGTTATTGAAGCCCTGCGTGCTGGTGTGTGTGTGTGTGTGTGTGTGTGTGTGTGTGTGTGTGTTAAAACTATACCATTCTGGGAAGCAAAGAGATCAACAGCATGGACATTGAAGTGTTTAAGATGGGGAGTTGCTTTTCTGAAGGATGTTTAAGCAAAGAGAGAAAACCCGGGATCCAGAAACATTCTGTGTTCCTGTTCTCTCCTGTCTCACCATGCTTGCCAGTAAATTAAAGGCAAACCTCGCTTACAGCCACTGCTCCTGCCCCCATGCCGTGGTTGAAATTTCTGGGACTTCACCCATCCATTCAGAGACAACACTATGAAGAAATAGAAAGAAACCTCTCGGTCCATTCCTACTCCATTGAAACCTGTGTTCAGAACTGCCCCTGCTGAATGTGTTTCCCATGTAAATAACCTGTGCTATTAAGGTGCAAATTGCAACTTTTAAGTAATGATTGCTAATAGTCTAATGTTTACTGCTACACAAGGACACCCATGAAAACAAAATCTGCATTATTCATCTCAGCATTCAATAAACAAAATAAATTGAGGGAGATGTTCTCTCCTGCCGGTCTCCCCACACAAAAAAAACCTGAATCATGGGGAGCTACCACAAGTCTGCAAGAAAGAAGCACAGAATGACTTGGGGTGAGCAGAGGCAGGGAACTGTAACTTAGGGGCATGTTAGATATTCACAGGGACGTGATTATGCAAGATTCCATACCTCATTGCAACTGGCGGGCATTACTATAAAAATAATAGTATAGAGTGCTAAAATTCTCTGCTACGTGTGTATGCAGACCACACGGCGGCTGAGGTTGTTAGGAAAAGAAATGTTTGAGAACATGTCTACAATTTTTTAAAAATCCAATCACTCTGCACCCTCTAAAGTGCAAACACATCAAGACAGTTTCTTTTTGCTCAGCCGTTTTGCCTTCGTCTTTTTATCTTCCCTGAAAAAATGAACGAGGGGAAAGATGCCAAGGCAGATTCCTGAAGATTCAGGTAAAAGCAGATGAATGGTGAACCAAACATCCTATCAAGAGGGTGATCCGAGCACATCCACACATACCCGATACATACAGGGCACGAAAGCTGCTTTGTGAACTTTCTCCTGGCCTCGAGTGCCAGCACCATGGAAGAAAGTCAGGACCAATAATATTTCTGAGAGAAATGAACATTTAAAAAGAACAGTCTTCTTCGTACCCCCCCCACACACACTGAAGTAGGAAGAATCCAAGAAATAAAGATGAAAAGTCTCCATCACTCAGCACACCATTCTGCGGACTCTGTTTAGATACCTGTTTTAGTAGAAAGTTCAGCCACTGATTTCTTGAAATATCACCCTTAAACCGAATCATGGAAAAACATCTAACATCCTGAAAGAGTTATTTGGAGAAAGAGAGTTCCAGGAGAGCCTCGGCCCCAATTCATTCCCAGGCTTTTTTAATCTTCTATTATTCATTAATCAAACGAGGAATCAAACTTTCAGCATCGGTCCACGGGAGTAATCACTTACAGTTGTGCATTGTATTTAATTTTAAGCAGTGATAAAAGTTAGCATAGCCATAGTCTGAGAGACACTTTCTCCCTTCTCTGCATGGTAACCTCAGCTAACTTTGTTTAACTCATCCTAAAACAGAGTGAGCTCAGATGAACAGAAGAAACATTGCAGGAAAAACAACCCACTTTATTAATATGTGAAAAAATAAATAGTGTGGAGCCGGGGAACTCACTGTGTATTAAATGAATTACTCCCTCTCAGCTCAACAAGGACTTCTGCTTCTCTCAGGGAACAATATGAGAATCATGGAAACAGTCTTGCAAAGACACTAAGAATCCAATTGGCCAAAAAACTGAAAGTACATTCACAAGTTTCTAACACACACACACACACACACACACACACACACACACACACACACTACTACTACTACTACTATAATAAAAAGAGTCGCCAACACCAATAGACACCAGCTTAATGAAAGGATCTCATTTAAATAATGTGATACAGCGTCATTTTCTGCACACCTGGATCGTCATTGATCAGCGGATAATTATAATTAAAGTAGAGCAGTTCTGAGCGAGGCACTTTTTGTAATGAGCTTGTGAAAGGAGACATGTCCAGTCATTCTGGTAATTTAAATTACTGCCTAGTTGTTGATGGCCTTTACCGGAACTACAAGGAAGGGCGGGGGGGGGAGAAACACAGTAGTTTTCAGGGCAGTATCGTTCGAGCTGGACTGTAGCCCAGGGCTCTCTTTCAGGACAGCAAACAATAAGGATGCTATCTTTGATAATCCACCCACACTTGAACTTATGTTGCCACCATTAGATGCAGCGGGCTGACTCTTCTGAAGTCTCCAAGGCCAGCACACACCCTCACATGGTCAGATAGCTAGGCAGTGTAAGTTTAAAAATAAAGTGAAATTAGAGAGCTATTGTTTTTCAAAAGAGGTGACCAGGGTTGAGGAAAGAACACCGGCTGCCTAAAGACAAGCTGCAAATGTGTGTGCTTCTAAGGCTACTTTCATGGTTTTGCTCTTGTGGAAACCATTGAAAATACTTGAATGGAAGCTTTAGAGCAACTCAAAGCAACCTACACACGGCTACGGAAGCGATTCCACACTCGGGAGGGAAGGAAACTGCGCATTCTGAAGCAGATGTATTGTTCTTTGGGCCGGGAGCAGAGGGTGATGAACCCTTCTGAACCTGATAGTCAGCGAGTTCAGACACACATATCCACTTTCCCCAGATTCCTAACTCACCAGACCTCTTCTCAGGGTGACTTTGCAAAGTTTACCCAAGTGTCCTGGGAACTTCTCCCCATGTTTGACTCAAGTTGGAACAGAATGAAATATATCGGTCTTACCCATGCTGACCAAAGTAAGAGGACAGTCAGCAAGAAAGGGGTTGGGGGGAGGGCAGATAAAACTTATAATTTTTTAAACTAAAGCCATGATCAACTAAAGGACACAAAGAAATAAAAATGCCCACATTAAAAGCCAACAAGATAATGACTGGGCATGTCTTTCTCTCTCTCTGAATATAGAGGGCAAAGCTTGCTTACGTCACTGGCACTCCGAGTTACCATGGTGAGTGATTTATTGATATATATCAGAATGAATAGATCAAAGGCAGTGAGATGACAGGTGATCAATCAAATGTCAAATCAAAACTAGCAATCAAGTGGAAAGCTGATTTTTCAGTGGGTGGGTCTGGCAGGAGAAAAATGAACTTTCCTCTTACAATTCCGAGAAACAAAACCCCAGCATACTATTATAAAAGCAATTAGACAACTCAAAAGGGAAAAGAAAAAAACCCTCTGAAGATCTATTAACCTGCTCAGATCTTTAGGTTGAGGGTCCCTGCAAGAAAGAATTCCACGGGACAGCCCCTATGGTAGCAATCAAGATGCAAAGTTTCCAAAGCTCTCTCTGGCAAAGAAAATCCAATGCTGTTTAAATTTCTATGGATGCCCTCCCCCCTCCCTTTAAGAAAAGAAGAGGGGATAATTAGATTTCTATAAACAGTGAATCCTTTTAGAAAATACATTCAAAGCTTCACTCATTTCCGGGGGTGCCTTTTGCACCTTGGCGACCAAAGCTACACCCTCATGGCTCACAGCCCCAAAGCCAGCCTGCAGCCCCGGGCTTGGACATGCCTCACACTTGCAAGCCCTGAGCCCCAGTGACTGGAGACTGTCCCTGGAGGCCAGAAGCTACCAGCACTGACCTCTCAGAGGGATGCGAGGGGTGAGGGTGGGGGGTCTCTCCCTTCCTTGCACCCCAAATCCACAATCCAACTTTGACTTCAGAGGCAAGAAGCCAGACTGGAAGAAAAAGTTAGGGGTGGGGTAGAGGGTGGAGGAAGTAAAAGTTTAAGCTAGGAAGGTTTGGTGGGACAGCTTCCCTGCCACCACCCAGAGGGAGCCTGGAGAGGGGAGGATTGGGGAGATCAGGATGGGGTGATGAAGAGGGTACCCGCAAGCTAACCCTCTTGAAAGCACCAGGGGGTGGCGTCCCCACTAGCCCCGGGCCAGGAGGGCGGGCGGGCGAGCCGCTGTGCGCCTGGATCGAGGGCCGGGCACCCGGAGCGGAGCCATCTCTTACCTGCAGCCCGCTTGGGTGCCTGCTGTTTCCTCCTTGGCATCGCTCTACTTAGCTCCAGTCTCACTTCTGGCGCCCCAGCCCCGAGCCGCGCGCGGGGGCCGCAGTCTCGCTCGTCTTTCTGTGGCTCCTAGGACGTCACTCGGCCTCTGTCCCCCTGACGATCCCCCTGCCAGCGCTCCAGCGCGGGGCCGGAGACCCCCTCTCTGGGAGGCAGATACGCTGTTTGTGCCTGCTGCTTGCAAGTGGAGGTTGGTTCTGCCTTGTTTGTTTGTTTGGTTTTTTTCCCCCTCTCTCTCTTTTTGTTTTTGCTTTTGGATTTTTTTCTTTTTTTGGTTTTGCTTTTTGCTGTTTTTTTGGTGACTGGTGAGACACTTGATTTCTTTATTAAACATCCAAGACGGGGTTCAGATGGCAGGGACGAGGGGCGCACACGCGCCACGCGCACACTCGCGCGTAAAGATAAGGGGGAAAACAATCCTGGGAAGACAGTGGGCTTCTTCTTTTTCTTCTTCCTTCTCTTTCCCTCCTCCTCCTCCTCTTCCTCCTCTTCCTCCACCTCCTTCTTCTCCTCCTCCTTCTCCTCCTCCTCTTCCTCCTCCTCTTCCTCTTCCTCCTCCTCCTTGTCCCTGATCTTGATGGCGGATTCGCGCTGGGGAGAGATCACTCACTGTAGGTTTGTCGCTGCTGTCAGATCCCAGTCTGTGAGTGATATGCGAGAGGACAGGAGCGGTTTGGGAAAGACAGAAAATCTGGAATTCACTCACTCACTCACACACACACACACACACACACACTCGTTCATGAGCGCACACACACACTCACACCCCCACATATGCACACACACACACACATGCTCAAGCACGCGCGCGCGTGCACACATACACATACATACACATTCTCTCACACACACACAGGCACACACACACACACACACACACACACACAAGACAGGGCAGGGCGATGCCAGCAAACATCGATCCCCGCTGAACAAACTGAACATTAACAAACTCCTCCTCTTCTCCCTGCGACCTGATGACAGGGAGAAATTTACTCCCCAGCCGCAGAGCGCCAGGCAGAGGGAGTCTATTAAAGGGACAGTGTCCTGCCTGGGAGAGGAGCTGGGGGTAGGAGACCCTGCCTTCCAGGCTGCAGCCACAAAGCCACCCTCCTCCTCGCTGGGGCAATGGGGTGCCCACCCTGTCTAGAAGCCCCTCCAGGAGGAAGATGAGAAGAGGGAAGGAGAAGGAGGCGAGAGTCGGAAGCAGGGAGGCTCTGGCAGAGTTGGAAGCAGACTCTTACTTGAGGAAGGAGGACCTAGGTTTGCTTGGGGCACAGACAAGGGACCCTATCCAGCCTCAGCCTGTCCCTGAAAAGAGTCTACTTTCACTTTAAGTTTAAGTTCAGGGCACTGTCTTCCACCTTCTTGAAACTAGTGGGAATTTCCTTTCAAACTTCTGCCTCCTGGACAGCTAATCACACAGTCTTCACTCTGTCCCCTCTCAGTAGTTATTGAGCACCAGCTGTGTGCCTGTTTTAGAATCATAGCAGTGACAGGGAGTGGGGGGAATCCTGGCTCTGGGGATATTTGAAAAGAGACAGGGAATGACACCACAAATGGCTCGCCCCCTTACCTTTCTGAAAATGCGGGGGGCACACCTCTCCATTCTATCCCCCTCCTGGGGTTTGTCAATGAGGTGGAAGCCATGCACAGCTTTCTTTGGGGACAATTGCCCATGACCTCACTAGACTGTAAGTTCTTAGTAAGTGCAGGCTGCTTTGTTTTACTCTACTTTCAAGGGTGGCAAAACACATCCCCCCCACCGCCTGCTGCAGCCCAATAGTTGTGCAGTGCATGAAAAGGATGCCTGTCACAGTGGGAACATAGTTTTAGAGGGACTGTAGGGGCTGAGAGAATGCCCACGGTCCATCATAGAGGAAATTCCGTCACTCGTTACCACTACACAGCAGGCACTTTTCAACATGTTGCTGACCCACCGGTGACTAAGATGCCCCTGACCCCTGCCCCATGGAGCTCTCCTTCCAGTGAGGTACAAAGTCAATGACAAGTGGGAAGGCCTCGAAAGGAGGTAGAGCTAAGGTCACAATGAATCTGGTCCGGAGCAGTGAACTCAGGGCGGCATACAAGCCAGGCAATCGGAGTTCCGTCTCCAGCCCTCTCTTTACCCTCTTATTTTGAGACAGGGTTCTTGCTTGGTTACTCGGGCTGCCCTTGAACTCATCCTGAGGTAGGTCTTTGAACTTGGGATTTTCTTGTCTTAGACTTCTGGGTAACCGGGTTGATAGGCCTGTGCCACCGGGGCTGGCTTGAATCTGCAGTCTGAAGAAGGAAGGATGGCTACCAAGTGGGGCTACCAGGGGAAGTCAAACACGGGTTCTAACCTTGGAGAAGGAGGAGGTAGGGTGAAAGGGGGACTCCATATAGCTTCCCTCACCCTCATGAGGATGTACTCAAGTTGGTACCCCACAAGCCCTCTATGTTAACATGTTGGGCCACACTCTGCTTTGCCAGAGATGAGTGTGGTCCAGTGCAATGCAGGATGCTTGCCTGGCAACACTCTGACCTCCAGATGCCAGGACCCTGCCCTTTGCTGTGATGACAAACCTTTTCACAGACATTGGCCGGCTCCTCTGGGGCCAAAATTTCCCCTGCTTGGGGACTACTCCTTTGGACTTCCTAGATGGGAACCTTATTGGATACAGGCCTGGGTCCTGAGTGGACATGTTGAACAGACAGACTCCAGTCTGAGAACTGCCCAGAGTTAGACAAAGCTAATGCCACTGAGATAGAGATACAGCTGGGCGGCACTGGGGGGCGTGTTGCTCCTGTGCCGTCTGCAATGGGATCTCATCTGGCTCCTTGCTCCACATCTGGCTCCTTGCTCCACATCTGGCTCCTTGCTCCATCCCACTATGTATCCACCCATAATGAAGCCTGACCAATAAGACCTCAGATGTTTCCACATGACCCTCCCCTCTTGCCACCCTGACCCTTCCCCATGGGCAATTACCAGCTACAACTAGTTCAGGTCAGTTGTATGCAGCAGTTCTCTGGGCCCCAGGAAATGTAGCTCACCCAACCCTACCCGTCAGCCACAAAGTGGTGTTATTGTCACTGCTTGTAAAGTGCCAATTAGTCATTTTCAACAGCTCTACATGTTACATGTGCAGCACAAGTAATAACATCACCTGGTCTAAACCACCCAGGCAGCATCCACCCCTCACCACCTCACCCCACCCAAGCCTAGCTCTAGGCAACTGAGGCAGAGAAATCCCGCATTCCCATAGTTGGCGATGTTAGCCAAGAGTTGTCAACTATGGTTTCCCAGAACACACTTAGAAGTCCTGAACTTGTGAATTCACTGTAGGGTACAGTACTATTGTCAGGACCAGGAGGCACAAACCTGGGTAGGGGGGGCTGTAAGAGCTCACCATGAATTTGCCATCTTCTCTGGAGACCTATTGCCTTGGGATCAGTATTATGCTCAAGGCATCATTTGGCAAATTTCTGTAATATGAATCAGGGGTGTAAGGCATTGCCCTAAAAATAGGGGATGCCAGGATGTTGTCCTAGTTAGCCTCAGCTGTCAACTTGACACAAATCTAATGTCACCTGGGATAAGAGAACTTCAGTTGAAGACTTGTTCTGATCAGACTGGCTGGTGGCCTTGCCTGTGAGACATTTTCTTACTTGCTAATTGATGCAGGAGGGCCCGGCCCACTGTGGGCGGTGCCATCCCTAGGCATGTTGGCTTAAGCTGCATAAGAAAGGCAGCCGAACAAGCCAGTAAGGAGTGCTCCTCTGTGGTCTCTGCTTCAGCTTCTGTTCCAGAATCCTTCCATGGCTTCTCTCAGTGGTGGTTATTTTTGGTCACGGTGCTATCACAACAGAGAAGCAAACTGGAAAGGGGTATACACTGCTAAAAATCTCTTGTAAGGCATCTATCATACCAGGGGACAGCAGAAAAGGGGAACCCATGTGGGCAGGGGGATAGGGAACAGTGACTCTGGGAACAAGTAAGTCCAGGACCCTAGGCCACAGCCGTCCTCTGGGGTCCTTTCTAGCCTTCTCAGGCTCCTCTACTCCCCGCCAGCCTTCAGTGGCTTCTATTATCCACAGGGATCCTTTATAGCTGCACTCACTGCATCTACCTTCCAGAGGTTCCCAGCATCTCTTCGGGCCTTGCTTCTGGAATGTTCTTTCATTGAGCTGCATCCCTGCCCCCCGCCCAACAGCTACCAACACAGAGTACTGTGCTTAGTCCTCAACAATGAAGATGCTGTGTATGCCAGTGGGGAGCAGAGTGCAATACAGGCCAGGCTAGCTGGTGAGCTCTCTCTGGGGATGCCTCCACTGTCTGAGAACCAGAACCGCAGGTGGGCTGCCACACCCACCGGCATTTACCTGTGCTCTGGTTGATCAGACTCCTGCCTTTACACCTCATGACAGGTACTTCATCCTGAAGCCATGTCCCCATCCAACCAACTTCCATCCTTAACCCTGATGCTGCAGAGTTCGGGCCTGGAAGCTTAGGGGACGACAATGCGTGTAGCTGAACTTTCACAGAGTAGCCTGATTCGCTCAGTGTAGTGGGGGATTTGCCTTCTATGCCAGTGAAAGATGCTGCGTTGTAGTTACAGTAGTTATCTGAAGCATGTGCTTGGCTAGGGTTTAAAAAAATTCATCTATGTAAGGGACAAGAAATAGCACCTATGTTTCAGGCGGAGGCACACATGGCAAAATATGAAAAAAGATGTTTGTTAGGTTTGAATGTGAAATGTTCTCCACACTCTCATGTGCTTCACCATGGTCCCCAGGTGGTGGCGCTGTTTTGGATGAACATGGCGTTTGGGGGGCCTGGGATCTAATTAGCTGACACAGAGTGACAGGACTCTTCGTGTCCTCATCCAACAAAGTGTGAGCAACTTGTCTCCCAACCCCACTGCCAGGGACAGAAACCACTTCAGCCAGTATGGGTGCTGTCATGCCTTCTCCATCATGATGAACGCAATCCCCTTCCACCGGGAATCCAGGTAAATCCTTCCTTCCTGAAGTTCTCATGAGGACAGGAAAAGTGAGAAATGCAGGTACTGTAGACATTACCAGGATGAGGAAATTACACACCCCAGCATCGGGAAAACATCTCCCAGGAGTCAATGCTTTTCAGTGGAGCTGGGCTTAAGTCCAAGGATTTAGCTTCCTTGGGATCCAGTGCTCAAACTGCAGGATGAGTACGGACATGAACGGATGGGCATGACTCAACTGATCCCCGCAAGAGCCAAGAGCTGTCCTCACCCCTGGTGAATATCAGAATTACCTGGGCATTTTGTTTTAATCATCATTGTCATCATCATCATCATCATCATCATCATCACAACCATCATTATCATCATCATCATCATCATCATCATCATCTTCACCACCATTTAAAGATCAAGAAACCCAGACTACAACCCAGACTTAATACAGTAGATCTAGAGTGTGGACAGAAAAATCAGAAAAATTTAAAAGTTCCCAGATAATTCCAATCTGGTGCCAAGGCACCAGAACTTTTATAAGAGGTGAATCAGGTGTGGAGAGCTTTTCAATACAAAGCAGAGGGCATCTGGTCCAGGGTGGGTTGCAGTGTCTTCCGGGTGGACCCCAGCAAGCCTGCAGATGCCCTGTCTGTCTGTTACAGTGGAAGGATGCTTTGGATGCCTTTCTCCCTGTGACTCCCTCACTCCTGAGCTCCAAACCAATGCAGTAGATGTCAGCATCTCCACACTGGGCTCTGCCCTGCTCCTGGGCTGGGGCAGGGGTGGCTTGGGAGACACAGGTTTCGGCACTCACCCCTCCCTCCAGCAAACTTATCCTTCCCGGTGTGCTGTGTCTCTCTCCTCTAATCCCAGAGATGTCATCTCTTTTGGACCTCATCCTTCTTTTCCACCTCATGTCTTTTTCGTGTCCTTCAGTGTTTATTACCCATCTGCTCTTATGGGC